AACTGCTGTGTCAAGAGATTCAGATGTTGGTGTGGGGGCCACATCCTCTTGCTAAGCCTGCATAGTGTGGCATGTGTTAATCATTCCTGTTATGTTTACTCTTTGTTGTTATTTTATTATATTGTATTTTTAAACTTTTTTTGGAGGGGGAGAGGTTTTTGCTATAGGGTGCATGCGCTTGCCAGAAAGACAGAGACAAAGAGACAGAAAGTGAGAAATCACCCCCTGGGGGGATGGCCACGCCACGATCCCTTCTCCATTCTCCTCTCAACTGCTGGTTCCTATATATTTTTTATTTTTGCTGTAGGGCTTGTGGACTGGCCAGAGAAAGACTGAGAGATAGAGAGATAGAGGGAGAGAAAGTGAGAGATCACCCCACAGGAGGGATGGCCATGCTACAATCCCGTCTCTTCCATCCTCTCGGGATTCGAGGCGTTCACGCACACGTGCCGGCATGTTTTTCAAGCTGCTGGGTCTGGGAGTCAAACTGCATTTAGCCATGTGGGATCCAGGGTCTTAATAATAAGCAGAAGGCTGGAGGATGGGAGGAGGCAGTCGGTGCCTTCAGGCAGGGCCACAGAGGGCCCCGTGAATAGGGGGAGTCCAAGGCTTTGGAGGTGAAACCTCACGCAGGTCTGGCAGCCAAAGTGGGTGACATCGAGGCTAGACACGGGGTCAGCTCGCCCTGAGCCCTCTCCAGCCTTGCCAGCTGCCCCATAATTTGGGGATGTGTGAGTCATGGGAAAAAGACAGAGAGACACACCCTGGAGTGGGAAGAGGCCACTCCTGTCTTTTCCCGGCGACGAACTGGATGGGCCAGTAGATGGCACTGCCCAGAGTGTCCGAGAGGAGCCCTGACGGACGGGGACCAGCTGCCAGGCACAGCGGCCGGCCCTCCGCCCAGACGCCTGCGCCCCGATCACGGTCACGGGCCTGGCCCGCGTTCCCGAGTGCTGCCTGGCTAACTGAGGACCCTCCTGGAAGAGACGGTAAGGAGGCAGGGGATGGGAGGGAGGAAGAGGGGAGAGGAGTTTCAGAATTACTTTCAGAATTAGGGAATCAGAACTAGAATTTAAGAAATGAAGTATATATTATATATACCTATATATATAAAATATTTTTAAAAATATTTATTTCTTCTGAGAGAGAGAGAGAAACTTCTGGGGTCTTTTCACCATGATCCACCCCCAGCCTCACAGCCTGAATCGTGGGCAGTGCCCTGTGGACCTAGGGGGGTTCCGGGAGGTGAACTCGGAATCTTTCTCTGTGGATCCATAGCCTTACTGCTGGGCCGCCACCTGGCACCGAAAAATGAAGTCTTTTTTTTTTTTGGTAATTGTTGCTATAGAGCACATATACTTGCGAGAGAGAGGTGAGGAAGCACCCCTGAGGGAGTGGTGGCCACGCTACAATCCCTTCTCCTCCATTCTCCTCTGGGGAATTTGGGCATGCACGCACACACACCCACTGTGTTTTTCAAGCCTCCAGGTCTGGGACTCGAACCCTGTAGTCTGCCATGTGGGATCCAACTGCCTTAACCTCCACTCCATCTGCTGCCCAGGGAGTGAAATCTTATTGTCACCATGCTGCAATCCTTTCTCCTCCTTTCTCCTCTCGGGATCTTTGGCACACACGCACACGTGCCCGGTGTGTGTTTAAGCCACCGGGTCTGGGACTCGAACCATGGTCGACTACATGGGAATCCAGCGACGTAGCCATTACGCTAACTGCTGGTTCCATCACCACATTGGAATACTTGTCAGAATCCTGGAAGTGACTCAGATGGTCCAACAGAAAAGCCCTGTCAGAGCCCACAAAGGCTCATCACAGTGGGGGTTAGGAAACAGCCCCTCGGACCTGCAGGGATCCTGGTGGCTCCGGCTACCCCGGGCTGCCGCAGGCCCAGCGCACCCGCCCAGCACATATGC